CAAGCATAATTGTATACCTCATTCTTTGTTGTCTTTTCTAAATGACTATTTAATGCTGTAAAAATGCATTAGATTAATAGCTCAAAATATAAAAAGTTGTCCAAATGTTTATAAACATTTCTAGTTTAAAAAACAAGTATTTTACCTATTGGCTTAATGAAAATAAGAGCCTATAACTATCATAGAAAAGTCTGACAAATGTTGGTGTAAACTTTCTCTAATTTTATGAGTAAAATCATCTGTAATGTGTTATAGCGTCCTATATTTTGCATCAATAATAATGAGAGTAATGACACAAATGTCTTTCACTTTCTGCAAATATAAAATAACCCTGAATTTAGGCACAGCTTTCAAGTTTTAAAACAAGTTCTTTCAGATGGAAACTAACATTCCAGGACTAGTTCTGGACACGTTAATCATTTATGAGATCTTGGTGGAGCCTACTTCTGAGGAAGTCTTTACATACACCACATGAACTGTGCGTACAGCTTCTAAAACTTCCAGGCAGTTATAAATCCAGATAGAGCTACTCAGATAACTTGTTTCTGAGCAAATTTATCTGGAATTCCTTATCTGTGTATTGACTTAGATGGCCTAAAAGTTACCCATGTCTGCTTCCCTGAAGAAAATATAATCTTTTTAAAAATTTGAAAATCAAAACAAGAGTTCTAATTTTAGTTCTGAATTGACCTCTGAGGACACTATGACCAATGTTTTCTACCACAAAGTTTTTGAAGGCAAGGCATTGACACAGTGAATTTCATCACTAGGTTGGTAAAAATTAACTAGGGCACTACGTGTGGGCATCAGAAGGAAGTCTGGGTTCCATTCTAACAGTGACCTCAAAGTTTCTCCATGGTGTATAAAGGGCAAAGCCAGGATGAGCCAACTTCTGCTGAGGATTCTGCAGGATGATATTCACCAAATCTGAAAGAAATGTGCAGTGTTAATGTTCAAAGTCTGTGTTCTTTGTGTTCAATCTTCCAAAGGTCGGATGCCATACAGCTGCAACTGATTATATTAAATCAAATTATTAAAAAATATGTTAGCCTATTTGTATTATTTATAGCATATGCATATTATCTGATGTAGAATTTTTTAATGAATTTGTGTCCTGCTATTGAAATACTTAGAGAATAGAAATTTTATCTTTTTCTTTAATATAGTTTAAAGTAGATTAAATTTGACCAAGCTGCATTAAAAAAAAATCTTATTATATTGAAACTCCATAAAGGACTAAACGAGGGGATCATTTTGCTTGAGTGAACACTGCTCTGGCTTTTGAGGGAGTATTTTCTTTTCTCTGTACTGTATTATTATAGAAAGAGACTTTTTCAAGATAAACAGAGTTTCATAAGCTTTCCTTCTATGGAAAAAAAAGGCTTTCAAGATGTCTTTGAAAAATAATGTTATAGTGATTAAACCACGTTTCAAGAAAATAAATCTTTACTAATCCCTTGAACAAAAAGGAAATATAGGTTTGGTTTTTAAAAAAATTTAAAAACTACCATATGGATCTGTACTTAGAATTAGGACTAATTCACCCAGGTCAAGTGAATTTTTCAGCACACACCTAGTTTTGAAAGCACAACCATTTCAGAATAACTTTATTCTTTTTCTTGTCACCTAAGAGAAATATACTTTAGACAGAGAGAAGATTGCAAAGCTCCATTCTTGGTCAGTCTAGGTAGGCTAGTGACCACAGAAAGGCCTCTGCACCCCTTGAAGGCAGGCCAAGACACATCAAGCACTAAAGTCACAGAATTCTTGATGGCAATCTCCGGGATCCTGAGGTCAGGTCACAATGGTTAAGCAATAAACAAGAAAGGCCAGATGAACTCCCTTTTGGCGGGAATGATTGCCATCAAGGATCTCCCTCTTGTCTTAACTTTTTAAAAGAAAATTATAACATTTAAGTCTCTTAAATTTCATAAACGCAGAGATAACCTGCCCATCCAGGTACTGAGGTTTATGTATTTGAATAGACCTATTGGAAAGCCTCCAGTGGGACCAAGTTTATGTAAAGAATTATTCAATGGCGAAGAATAGAAAGGAGCGACTAAAGGTTTTTAGTTCACAGCCTCAAATCACCAAGCTCTCACAGGAAGCCCTGTGCAAGCAGTCACAAAGGGATCTAAGGACGCCTGGATGCCCAGGAACCATCAGAGACACAGGAACACCTGGCATAACTGATTATGTTCCTGATTTTTTTCAGAATTTTCCTTTAAGAAACGCAAACAGGTGTAGTTCGCATTACAAATCTATTCACTCAAGAGTTCAAGAGCAAAATTCAGAATTTTTCCTCGAGGACCATAAATAGGGACCAGAGTAATATTCAATCCATACCCTTAGACTCTCCATTAGGTCATATTTCAAGGAATTGGGAGAATTTCAAATTGGACAGTTTAAACAAAAAGGATTAACATTTTGTCATAATGATGCCTGGGCTTGATATGAACTAACACAAAAGAACTTTAGGAATGCAACCCAGAGCTAGGTACCAGCAGTGGTCTGTGGCAGCCTCACCAATCTCATGCTTCTTCTTAGGTGGTCCTGATAACTTTGTACTAAACCTCAGACCCCCCCTCCCCCACTTTAAGTTGATGGTCCCTGGTCTATTCTGAGCAGGTTTTCACTTCCTACTAAAACGTTTGGGATCCAAAAATTTAATTCTGAAGTACATCCTAAAATGCCATTTCCATTGCCTTTTCTCTCTCCCCCAAGAAGAAAAAAAAGAAAGGAAACAAATTCTTTTTTTTTTTTTGAGGAGTCTCGCTCTGTCGCCCAGACTGGAGTGCAGTGGCCGCTCCCGGCCACCGCAGCCTCGACCTGCTGGACTCCAGCGACCCTTCCGCCTCAGCCTTCCAAGTAGCCGGAATTACAGGCATGCGCTACCACGCCCGGCTGATTTTTTGGTTTATTGTAGAGATGAGGTCTCGCTGCCCAGGCGGGTCTCAAACTCGCAGGCTCAGGCAATCCACTCACCTCAGCCTCCCGAAGGCGCAGGATTACAGGCTGAGCCACTGAGCCCGGCTACAAATTCTTGAAAAGAGAGAGAGACCAAGAAGAATAGTTCCCTTAGGACACTCCACGCTGTTTGAGAAAAGACTTGCCAGGTTTTCTAAGACCCTTGTTGGCTACATATTAAGGTCCACTTTGTGCACATTTTAAAACGAGTGGGCAAATTACAGCAAAGAAAATTCAAATCTCAAATAGTTAACCTACAACTATAGGATTACATGGAGTCTTCTAAAGCTCTTTATTTCTCTCTTTTCTTTTATGCCTGCTTTAACTCTGCTGTCTACTAAACTATTGGTGTTGAGATAAAATTCCCTGTTTCAAGGATACTAGAAATTTTATTTTACTTATAAAATTCAACCAGTTCCAACTAAAATGTAAACACTGAATACTCATTTGAAACTAAAGGGAAAAAAACTGTTTTGTCTAAATCAATGTGACTTAAAGGTGAATTCAAATTATGAATTTAGAGAAGCTATCTATGAAAGAAGGTTAAAAGGAACCACACATGAAGATGTGTTTTTTGTTTTTTTCTTTTGAGTTGGAGTCTCACTCTGTCACCCAGACTGGAGTGCAGTGGCCGCTCCTGGCCACCGCAGCCTCGACCTGCTGGGCTCCGGCGATCCTTCCGCCTCAGCCTTCCAAGTAGCTGGAATTACAGGCATGCGCTAACATGTCCGGCTGATTTCTGATTTATTGTAGAGATGAGGCCTCGCTGCCCAGGTGGGTCTCGAACCCGCGGGCTCAGGCAAAAAGATGTATTTTTGATAAGAATGGTTATTTTTTAAAAAGAGAGAGAGTAGTTTTCTATTATAAAGGCTCTTGTATGGTAAATTTTCGTCTGAAGCAAAATTATTGATTATTTGGTAAAAAGGGAAGCATACAGCAAAACAGAAAGTCCACTATGTCATAGATGGTCTATTTCAGTGAAAAAGAATTTATAAATGAAATTTTATGTATAATTAAATTTTCTAAAGGAGAATACTGAGTTATTTTTATGAATTAGATATCAATATCAAAAGCACATTGATGTTGGGTCAGAATGCCACTATCTCAAAATAACAGTGTTTTCTTAGAGCACTGATCTGCCCTTTAATATAAATTGTAAAGGATTAAGAAAGGGTTTATAAAAATCTTACTTTGTGATCAAACTAATTTAAATTACTTAAATTTGTTTATGAGTTTTTATTAAAAGTAACTTCAATGTTACTAATACACCTCTGCAAAGATATAATTTGCTATTCTCTTTCAAGCAAAATTTTTGTATGATTTTAAGTAAACGGAAAAAAAAAATAGAGGAAAGAGACAGATTCAGTTGGTCCCTGCTGTCCTTCTTAGTTCTAGTTGTTTGAGGAAATGAATTTCCTCTATCAAAGAGCAAAGCTGTTGCTTTTTAAAATCTTTGAATTATCACTTTGGCTAAATAAATGACTATTTTACAATAAGCTGTCATCCTATGTTATGATATCATGCTTTAAAAACCTTTAGTAGTCAACAAACTTTCCAATGTAAAATTTTCAGGTTCTCAATTCAGTCTTTCTGAACTTTTAAAATTCTTTTTAAAAAATTACATTTCCGGCCGGGCCACGTGACCGCA